AGGCTGGCCTTGAGCTCACTTTGTAGCCCAGGCTGGTCTCGAACTCGCAATGATCCTCCTGCCTCAGCCTCCCGAGTGCTGGGATTACAGGTGTACGCCACCACGCCCGGCTGAGCCACATAAAGAGCTTGGCACAAGTGGTGATTGGCTCGATAACCGTGATTACTACTCTTGCCTTGGGGACCTGGCACGCGCTTCTCTCTGCTCATTCATCCTGGAGGGCCTGACTTTACAGTGGGGCCTCAGAGAAAGTCCCGCCGGCTCGGAGAGCGGATGAGCTGTCCCCGCTGCTGCCTACTAGTGCCCTGCTCTTCACAGAGCATACAGCCACCTCACAGGATTATTGGGGTCATTTCTGGAGCCAGGTAGCTCATGGGCCTCAGGAGGGGCAGGGCTGGGACTGTCATGGCCGTCATCCTGTCCCCGGCATTGCCCGGCCTCGTGCAGGTGCAGGGTCGGGATCAGGAGATACTGCTGAGCCTTCCCTGCTGCCCACCTGCTGACCCTGCAGGCGTCCTGCCACGTGGCACACCTCTTCCTCCCTCTGTTAGACCCCATTCCATTTGGCTTTCAGAGCTTAGCCTCAGAGAGCGCCCCCTGACTTCCAGCATGGCCAGGTGCTGCCCTGGCTTCCCCAGCCCCCGTCTGTCCTCACGGCGGCTGCCATCGCTAGGTAGGGTGCCCCTGATGGTGTTCACCCCGGCACAGAGGAGGCAGGGTGTTGAGTGACTCAATGACTCCCTATCCTGCCTCTGACCTTCACAGCCCACAGGGGTTTTCAGCCGCCTGGGGGCCACTCCAGAGACGGATGAAGATCTGGCATGGGACAGTGACAATGACAGCAGCAGCTCTGTCTTGCAATATGCCGGCGTCCTGAAGAAGCTAGGGCGGGGCCCAGCCAAGGCCAGTCCCCAGCCGCCACTGACTGTCAAAGCTAAGGCCACGAGCTCGGCGACACCGGCCGCCACCCCAACTCTGCGGCGCCTTGCCCTCTCCTCCCGCCCCGGGCCCGAGAGGAAGCCGGAGTCCCTGTCCAAAGTCAGCATCATCCAGAGACTGGGCAAGGCCGCCCTTGCGCCAGAGGCCCAGGACAGCCAGGTCACGAGCACCAAGAGTAAGTCTTCGGCCGAGGTCAAGGTCACCATTAAGAGGACCCTGGTGGGGCCCCGGGGGAGCAGCTCCAGCGAGGGCCTTGGTGCCCAGATGGACCACGCGGGCACCGTGAGCGTGTTCAAAAGACTGGGCCGCAGGACCTTCTAGCCCACGGAGGGCAGGTGCGGCCCCTCGGGCTCCTGGCTCCTTCTGAGTCTGCCTTGAGGGCCCGCTCACCCCCCTGCCAGCTCTGGATGGCCCTGCTTGTCTCCCTCGGGTGTTGGCACTGGGCCTGGGCCCAAGCCCTCAGGCCGAGCACCGGTTTTCCTGGGCTGGGTGGTCGCTGCGGCCTGGCCTTGCCCGCTCTGGGGCTTTCCCTCCCTCCCTCCTGCCCTCTGTTCTCTGCTCTCTGGCCAAGGCCTTGGCAGAACCCACGTCCTCTCCCGAGTGCCCGGCGCCCCTCTCTGCCACAGCCCCTTCTCCTCTCTCAGCGGCAGCTGCTGCCGGCTCCTCGCTTCCCTGTGCTCCCTCCGCCCACAGCGGGTGTCTCGGGGGCTCCTGGCTGCCCACACCCTGCTGTCCCCCCCCGCCCCCGCTGTAACTCTGTCTCTCTTCACCCCGTTCATTTCTCTTCTGTTTTCTGTCCCTGTGGCAAGGCCCGACTGTGCGCTGTGTCCTGCCCGACCCTCCTGCACCTCCGGCCTCCCAGCGGCCCCCTCGTCGGCGGTGGCGTGGAGCCCGTAGAGACTGTTAGCCGCCTCCACTCCCAGGCTGGAGGGGCCCCCAGGCCCTGGGCTGCAGCCGGGCGCCTCCATTTGCCTGCCCTGGGCATCTTTTTGTGTGAAAGTCGGTGCTGGGGGGTGGCCAGGGTCAGCGGGAAGGGAGGCCAGTTCGGACAGAGAAGACAACGGCTGTTTTAATATATTTTTGTGACTTCCAAACTGTTTCCCTGCCCTCCTTCAGGGTGAGCGCAGGTCTGCTTCTGTATCGCGCACAGCGTGGGCGGGGCTCGGGGAAGGATGGGTCTGTCCCCACGCAGGTCGAGCTCCTGCACACAGGAGGGCCACACGTCAAGGGCGGTAATGACCGCGGTCGCCATTCAGGGTGGCCCCCACCCCAACAAGCAGCAGTGGTTCTGTCACTGTGCCCTACCCCATGGATTCCTCTGTTTCTGCCACTCTGCCTGCGGGTGGCTTCTAACCAGTGGGCTCCGTGGGTGAGGGAGTGACTTCCTGTAGGTGTGGCTGGTTCCAGGAGCTGGGGAGCCTGTGGTGGGCGGGGCAGTCCAGGGCCCATCCACACGCAACCTCTGATGAGGGAGACAGCGTCCCATGATGCCCAAGACCTGAGGGCTGGGAGTGGCGGGGCCAGCCCGTTGCAGGGTGGGAAGGCCTTCCTGAGGATGCGTTAGCTGCACGGAGCGTGAGAAGTGGCTCTCTGCAGTCACGGAGGAGGAAATTGTGGCAGGGGACAGCAAGGGGCGCAGGCCCCAAGATGAGATGAGGGCTACGGGCAAGGTTGCGCATGAGGTGGAGGCTGGGGGGCCAGAAGCAGATGCTCTGGACACGGAGACCCAGGGCGAAGTGTATGGAAGCTCTCCAAGAGCTCTGGGTTCGGGAGGTGTAAAGCAGGGCAGGGGTGATCGGAGCGGCTGTGTGTAACAACCAGGGCTCCAGCTGTGGTGAGGAGTGGGCTGCCGGGAGGGCAGAGGTGGAAGCTGCCACAGTGGGGAGCAGACGGGGCAGACACGGGTGTGCTTCAGAGGGGCCCAGGCGCAGGCGTGCTGCGGGGTGGGGGATCATGGTCCCACGAAGCTTGGTCCCACGAAGCTTCACCCTGAGTGTGTGAGGGATTGGCTGGGGGGAGGGAGCAGGGGAGAACTAAGCTGGGGAAGCTGAGACAAGGTCTCGATCGTTTATTTATTTTTAATGGGGGAAATATACATAATGTGAAGTACACCACCTGAACCATTTTCCAGCATACTCAGATCATTAACCACGTTCCTGTGACGTGCCCGTTAATGCGGTCCGTCTCCGGGACTTTCATATTCCCAGTTTGCTGGCCGTTTTTGGTTTTGCAGTGTGTCTTCCTGGGAGCCTACGGTGTGTCAGGCTGTGCCCCAGGACCAGGTGTGGGGTGAGAGGGGCTAGACCTCTAGGTGAGGGACAGCAGGAATACTCCCCTGTCCCCGCGAGGACCTGGGCCAGGCCTTCGCGGAGCTGGTTTGGGTCAGGCATCAGAGGACTGGGAATGCTGGGGATGTCGGGTCCTGGGGGCTGCCCTTTCACGTGATGCCGCCAGGGGGCGCTCTCACAACGTGTGCTTTCCTGGCTGAGCTTCAACTTCGTTTTCCTAGGAATTTTCTCTAGTTTTACCTCATGGGGGATTTTAACAGCCAGCAGGGCTGACTGGCTGGTTCCTAGTTACTCTACTTAAGAGCACATGGTGAGTTGCTGTGTGCGGGAACTACAGTGATACAAATCGTACATAGCTTATTTAACCGTGGAAGACTTACTTGCACCAAGTAAGCTCTGTCGTTGCTCTTTGCAGAGGCTCCAAGAATGTGAGCTACTGAAGGTCTTGTGGCAGGACTGGGGTGGAGCTCAGGGAGCTGACCCAGGATCCTCATCCTATGCTGTGTCACCTCCCTTGCAGATTGAACTGTGGTGGTCCTTTGTGGGGGAGGCAGGTTGTAGGACAGTGGTTTGTGATTCTTTGGTTTTTTGTTTTTGTTTTTGTTTTGTCTTTTTGAGACAGGGTCTTGCTATGCAGTTCAGGCTGGCCTTGCGCTCACTTTGTAGCCCAGGTTGGCCTTGAACTTGCAATGATTCTCCTGCCTCAGCCTCCTGAGTGCTGGGATTACAGGCATGCACCACCATAGCCAGCTCTTTTTTTTTTTTTTTTTGGTACTGGGAATCGAACTCAGGATCTTGTGCTTGCCAGGCAGGCACTTATGTCACTGAACTATATCCCCGGCCCTTTTTCTTTTTCTTTCATTTTTTTGGTTTCTGTGTACACCTCCCAGAGAGGTGTGTGTAATGCGTACACCCGTGAAGTGGGGAAGAAAGTAGTGCACATACACATGCGCACACATATTGACAGCCTCCTTAATTTATTCAAGTAGTCTCTTTTTTGCAGGAAATTCAGGTCTCTGATCTCTTGCTACTGTAAGTAGTGCTGCAGTAAATGACCTTTACAGGTGGGATTGATTTAGGGTAAATTAAAGAACTTCAGCACTGACTGTCCTTCCTTCTGGGTTTTTTGTTTGTTACTGTCTTCCAATAATTGTTTTATTTTTATTTTTATTTTTATTTTTTGGTTTTTCTCCGGTACCGGGAACCGAACTCACGACCTTGCGCTTGCCAATGCAGGCGCTTTTGCCACTGAGCTAAATCCCCAGCCCCTGTTTGTTTGTTTCTTAAGACAGGGTCTTACTATGATGTTCAGGTTTGCTTTGAACTCACTATGGAGCCCAGGCTGGCCCTGAATTCATGGCGATCTTCCTGCCTCAGCCTCCCTAGTGCTGGGATTACAGGTGTATGCCACCAAGCCCGACCTCCTGGTTTTTTTGAGACAGTGTATTGCTAAATTGCCTAAGCTGGACATGAACTTGGGATCCTCCTGTCTCAGCCTCTAGAGTGCTGGGATTAGGGGATTGTAAATTGGAGAGCAGTTTGGGCAACTTAATGACACCTTGTCCCAAAATAAAAAGGGCTGAGGATATAGCTCAGTAGTAAAGCTCTTAGTTGGCATGTACAAGGCCTGAGGTCAGTCTCTAGGATAGGGGGCGGGGGTGTTGCCATCAAAACCACTTTATTTTTAAACCAGGTGTGGTTGTGCACACCTGTAATCCAAGTACTCGGGAGGCTGAGGCAGGAGAATTGCCACAAGTTCAAGATCAGCCTGGGATACACAGTAAGTCTAAGACAAGCCTGGACTACATAGCAAGACTGTCTCAAAAAGAACAACAACAACAAAAAAGCCTATTGGGCATGGTAGCACATGCCTGTAATCCAAGCACTCAGGAGGCTGAGTCAGGAGGATTGCCATGAGTTCCAAACCAGCGTACATAGTGAGTCGAAGGCCCTGAAACATATAGCAAGACCTTGTCTCAAAAAAAATTTTTTAGTACATGTTTACGGTATGTAAAGATTACATTTATCCTGAGTTGGTACAAATATATAACAAATGTGATTATTTGTATTTTTTCTTCTCCCCGCAAGCCTGTTCATTTAAAAAATCATTTAATTTTATTTTTGATACCAAGGATCAAACACAAGGCAGTCACACTGAGCTACATCCCACCCTTTTAAAAAATTTTCAAGCCAAGAATAGAGCTCAGAGGCACAGTGCATGCCTGGCAAGCATGAGATCCTGAGTTTGATTCCAGGTACCCAAGAAATAAACAAAAAATTTTTAAAAATTTTGCCAGGGCTGGGGTATAGCTCAGTGGCACAGTACCTGTCTGGCAAGCACAAGGTCCTGAGTTCAATTCTAGGTACCAAAAAACAAAACAAAAAGATAAAAATTTTACCAGGTGCACACCTGTAGTCTCAGCACTTGGGAGGCTGAGGCAGGAAGATTGTGGTGAGTTCCAGGCCAGCCAGGGCTACATAGAGTTCAAGGCCAGCCTGAAATACATAGCGAAACCCTGTCTCAAAAAGAGAAAAAAAAAAAAAGTTCAAAACTATATATATAATTTTTAAAAATTTTGACATGGGGTCTAAGTTGCCTAGGCTGGACTTGTTTTATTTTTTTTTAAGTGATGACTCTACATTATTACTTAGTTTGTTTTATTTATTTGTTTGTTTGTTTGTTTTTGGTACTGGGAATGGAACTTAGGACCTTGTGCTTGCCAGGCAGGCACCGTGCCCCTAAGCTACATCCCCGGCCCTCTGGGCTGGACTTACATTTTCGATCATTCTGTTTCAGCCTCCCAGGGTGCTGGGATTGCTGGTATGCACTGATTTGTCTAGCTAGTTTTTTCTTTTTCTGTTAAAGTAGTACACTTTGTATTTTTTGGAAAAGTTTTAGAGTTACAGAAAAAAGAACTTAATACAACTTTGCATGGTGGCGCATGCCTGTAATCCCAGCACTCCGCAGGCAGAGGCAGGAGGATCACCACAAGTTCCAGGCCAGCCTGGGCTATGTAGTGAGTTCGAGGACAGCCTGAACTGCATAGTGAGACCCTGTATCAAGAAATAATAAACAAAGAAACAACAACAAAAAGTACAGAGAGTTACCATGTATCTCACACCCAGTTTTCCCTATGATTACCTAGTATGGTATGTTTATTACAACTAGTGAACCGATATCAACCCATTAGTATTAACTAAAGTCCACAATTTTTTCAGAGTGCCTTAGTTTTATCTAATGTTCTTTTCTGTCCCAGGGTCCATATTACATTTTATTTTTTACTTATTTATTTTTTTGTCTTTTTGAGGCAGGGTCTCGCTCTGCAGTTCAGGCTGGCCTTGAGCTCACTTTGTAGCCCAGGTTGGCCTCGAACTCTAAACAATCCCCCTGCCTCAGCCTCCCGATTGCTGGGATTACAGGTGTGCACCACCACCCCCGGCATAAAGCATCTTTAAAACAAAAAAAGTACTAATTTAGTCACATAAGTAGTGACTAAGTAGTATTATTGGCTTAAGTACTATGTTTGGATTAATTCATTCAAACAGCAATTCAAAGGTTCAAGAAGATATACAGTAGAACCATTCTGCACTCAGATTGGCAAAAATCTTCACATC